CACCCTGGGGCTTTCTGGCCAGAGAGAGGGAGCCTTTGTTGAGCTGGGGAGGGGGCAGCTCTCACTTTGTGGGTGTTTTTTATGATTATGGTTACCCCAATACACCTAGGCTGTGTGCCTTTATGGAATGCAATGTGTGTAGACACCCCTAATTTATTACCGTGCTTTGTAACCAGCCCTTTCCTACAAGGGGCAGAAATAGATGTGGTCTAAGGGATGGGGGCTGAGGGGCGGCAGTACCAGGCACCAGGTGCCTCCGAGGCTGGGATACCTGGACGGGGCCTTACTCATTCAGGATTTGGGGTCGGGGTGCCTCCTTCCTGAAGGACAAGGCAGGTTTAACTGCAGAGGAGGGGAACTCTGGCACTGCACTCAGGCCGGTGCTAATGGGTCACCCGAAAACACCTAAGAGAAGACGGCTTGGGAGGAGTGAGCTTGCGAGGAGTCCAGAAGCGTCCAGGAAAGAGCAGACTTGGCTTTGTCACGGGGACTCAGTCATGGGGATAGATCGTCAGGAATGCTTTTGAGGAAGTGTGGGGTTGTTTGGGGCATAAATGAACTGTTCATCCTACAGAATAGATAAGTATGTCCAGCATTGCCATTGTTCTGAGATTTAATTCCTGGAAGGCACTTTTCCGAGGAAGACAGGGATGTGTGAGAAGTGCCTGCCCCATGTGAGCCAGGCTTCGGGGCCTTGCCTGCAGGCTCTGGGGGCGAGGGTGGTGTCTGAGAGGGTTCCACAGAGACACCTGGTGCCCGCCCCGAGGAGCGGGCTGCCGACGCTCCCCTTGTGTTTGGCAGAGAACTCTCCTGGCCACGGGAAGTCGCCTGACCACAAAGGCCGCGCCAGCAGCCTGCTGCACAAGCCCGAGTTCCCGGACGCGGAGATGATGGAGGTCCTCATCTAGCGCTGTGTCCCCGAGGAACGTCGTGCCGGGACAGTGACAAGCGGAGGAGGAGAAGGAGCGTGGCCATGGCACGAGCAAGGAGAGCGATCGAGAAGGTGGTAGTGGGAAGCCAGGAATGATTGGAACTGATAAAGATTTCAGATTCGTAAGAACACTTTTTATAAATGTTTAAAAAAAAAACAGGAGACCTACACGAGTGAAGATGGAGTGAACGCTATGGATTTTTATTGCCTATGGTGGCAGAAAGACGATGCATGTAGGTTTGGAAACGAAGAAGAAATAGGAAATGGAATTTTCCAATGTACAGAAAATGTATCTCATGGGGAGGGTCTGTGTACACCCATTTTCTGGTTATAAACACATAAACCTGAACCGGAATCTTCCTTGGAATACCCCCCTTCTCCTTGCCCTCTAGCATCTGTTTGTTTAAGAACCTCCTAGAAGTCTCTGGGAGCCCCTCGGGGTGTAATGAAATACCACCTGTGCCCCCCTGGGGGTGTCCTGTGGATGTGTGTGGCTGTGACGATGAGATGAAACGTGGAGGGGCCACCTTCCGGTCCCTGTCTAATAACCGGCTTGGTTTGGGTTTTGCAGGAGATGGTGGGGCTTCCTAGCTTGTGTGGTCTCGAGGCGGTGTTTTCTGAACAGAATGGGAGCGTTTCGATCTTGGTGCTCATCCTCCCCGACTTGCCTGACTTCTTTGTCTTTGCTCCGTTTTCTTTCATTTTATTCTTTTTCCTTCTTCTTATTCTTCTTCTTCTTCTTCTTCTTCTTCATTTTTAAGTGAAACGTGGCAGTAGGTCTGG